TTCAAATTTTGCATTATTTTTTCTTATTTCAAATTTTGCATTATTTTTTCTCTAAAATAAAAAAATACAACAAAAAGTATATTCAGATTACAATCTAAAATGATTCAGCATGTGCAAAACCAGCAAAATTTCAACTAACCAAAAGGCAAAACAGCCAGGGATATAGCTCAGCATTACAGCACCTGCCTGGCAAGTGAGAAGTCCTGAGTTTTCCCTGAACCAAAAAAAAAAAAAAAAAAAAAAAAAAGACAACCAACAGACAAGGTTGAAATGACACAGATGTTAGAACTGCCTGACAAAAACCTTGAATGTAGCCATTGTAATAGTGCCCTCAGTAAAAGTAAGCAGTACAAAAATGTAACACCTCAGCAAACTGATTGAAAATATAAATTACTAAAATTAGGACAGGAGATATAGCTCAGCAGCACAACTGTCTGCCTGGCAAGCACAAAGTCCTGAGTTCAGTTTCTAGTACAAAAACAAAAGTAAAAGCTAATGGATGGTGAGAAAAAAAAAAATGGAAACAAAGTTTTTATAAATAGAGAGGGGAGGAGAGGTTGAAGGGAAGGTTGTGCAATGGGAAAAAAAGAATCAAGTTATAAAATGTACAGGTACAAATTCTCTATGATGAATGTGATTGATCATCATGTATTTCTACAATGTACCAATATAATGATTGAATAAAAATAAATAAAACTAATGGATGGGAATGATATAATGTGAGCCAGTGACTAGGGTAGATTAATAAAAATATGCAATATGAACAACAACAGAGAGGACAAGGATTTAAAATATGAATAGAAGCTGGGCATAGTGGTGCTCATCTATACAGCACTCCGGAGCTGAGGCAGGAGAACTGCCACAAGTTCAAAGCCAGTCTGACCTACACAGAGCCTGTTTCAAAAAAAAAAAAAGAAAGAAATCCTCAGGAATCTGTGGGAGTATACAAAAGGTCTAACATTCCTACCACTGCAATCTTATGAGGAGACAAAATGCACAAAAATATTTTAAGAAATGGTGTCTGAACATTCTCCAAATTTGATGAGACATAAATGACTAGTAAACATCAAATACGGTAATAAACATAGACACATCACGATTATAATACTGAAAGGAAAAGACAATTGAAAATGATGAGGCAGGGGCTGGGGATTTAGCTCAGTGGCATAAACACCTGCCTTGCAAGCAGGCAGTCATGAGTTCAATCCCCAGTACCAATAAAAATGAAAAAGACAAAAAAAACTTTAAAAAAAAAGAAAATGATGAGGCAAACAAAGTGGCCAGAAAAAAAGTGATGTATTACTTAAGGATAGGGATGATTACAGATCTTTTTATATTACAGAATGCAAAAGGAAGTGGACATTTTAATGTGCTGCAAGAACCGAAATGCAGAATACATACGGCTATAGTTTGGCTTCACCAAAACTGAGTTTGAGGCTTGGTCCCCAGTGTCGTAGTATTAAAAGACAGTGCAACCCTGAATGAAGAGACTTTGAGTTAGGGGACGGCACACACCTGAAGTCTCAGCTACCTGGGAGGCTATGGCAGAAAGATCTCGAGTTTAAGGCCAATGTAAGCAACTCAGCTAGAGCCTGCCTCAAAAATATATAAACAAGTAAATCAATCAACCAATCAATTAATTTAAAAGGTCTGGTGCCACAGATTAGTAGAAGTAGAGCACTTTCCCAGGATGTGTGAAGCCCTGGCTTCAATCCCAAGAAGGTGGGGGGCAGGGGAGGCACGATGTCATACAGATTTGCCTTCATGAAGGGATCTCACGAAGGGATTAATGCTATCTCACAGGAATGAATTTGAGTTTCTTTTTTCACAAGACTAGACTGATTGGTTACTACTACAAAAGTACTTTATTACCAAAGCAGGGCTCTTCCTTGTGTCTTGTCTCTTCTGTGCATACCTCCTCACTTTTAACTTCTGCAAGGTTAAGGAAGTAGCATGAGGCTTTCCTGATGAGTTCACTCAATCTTGGACTTCCTAGCCTTCAGGACCATGAGTCAAAACCCTTTTTCTCTCTAAATTACTCAGTCTCAGTTATTACATACAGCAATAGGAAATAGAGTAAGACACATATCAAGTGATAATGTCCTAACAGTAAACTAAAGACATTTTCCGATAAAATTAAAAGCCGGTATACCTTGCTGAAGAAGTTCTTCAGACAAAACAGTTCATGGAAGAAATCTTGAAACAACAATAAGAATAACAAAAGTCTTGAAACATCAGAAATTCAGAAAGAACAACATCAAGGGCTAGGGATTTAGTTCAGTGGCATAAATGCCTGCCTCGTAAGCATAAGGTCGTAAATTCGATCCCTAGTACAAAAAAAAAAAAAACCAACCAAACAAAAAAGAACAACATCCAAGCAAATATAAATGATTATCCTTTTCATTTAAAATTCTTTTTTTTTTTTTTTTTTTTTTTTTTTTTTTGGTACTGGAGACCAAACTCACGACCTCGTACTTGTAAAGCAGATGCTGAGCTAAATCCCCAACTCCCATTTGAAATTTTTTAAAATAAGTTGGCTGAATGTAAAAATTTATAACATGGTATATGTTTTAACCTAAATCTCTGCTTTTTTTCAGTAGCATTTTGCATCTTTTAGCACACAGACATTCATGTTAAGATTTACAATTAAGTATTTTACTTATGGAAAACTATTACAACTGCTTTAAAATTTTACCTTCTAAAAAAATTTAGCTTCTAGTTGTTCCTTGATTGAATGCAGACATGCAATTAATTTTTATGTTTAATTCTCATATCCCACAATCTGGCTAAACTCAGTTATTAGTCTTATAAGCCTCTTTGTAGAATCCCTAGAATTTTTTAAAATAGAAAATTATTGTCATATGTGAATAGGGACAGTTTTTTTTTCTTTCTTTGCACTCTATGTATCTTTTATTTCTTTTTTTTTTTTTTTTTTTGTCTTTTTCTTTTTTTATCGGTACCAGGGATTGAACTCACGACCACACACTTGCAAGGCAGGCGCTTATGCCGCTGAACTAAATCCCCAGCCCCCTATCTTTTATTTCTTTTTGTTGCATATTAAACTAGCTAATAAGACTTCCAGAACATAATATTGGTGAGAATGGACATCCTTGTCTTGTTTTCAATCTTAGCATTCAATTACACACATGCACACACACAGATGTGTATATGTATATTAATATAAATATATAAAAACTAAAATGAAGGCAAAATGAAAACACACTGAGACAAACCTGAGCAAATCCATTGTCAGCAGATTTACCCTATAAAAAATTCTAAAAGAAGCTTTAAAATGTTTTAAATAAGATATAGTTATGGAGGATGCAGAAAAAATGTCATCTCAAGACATAAGAACGATTAAGAATGAAGCAGGTTTTGCACAGTGTGTAGCATATGCCTATAATCCCAGTACTTGAGAGGCAGAGGTGGGAGATCGCCAGTTCAAGGCCAGCCTGCACTACACAGTGAGTTGAAGGACAGGCTGCACTATATAGCAAGACTCTGTCTCAAAAAACCAAAACCAAAACCAAACAGAACAGAAAACAATTAAGCAGATTCATCAGAAAGGAGACTGAGGTTGTGGAAGACAGAAGAAAAGTAAGACATTCCAGAAATAAGAAATAGTATGAATAAAAAACAGAGGACAAATCTTTGTTTTAACCCATGCACAAAAGAAGCATTATAGGATTTTAAGTAGAACAATGTATAATGAAAATTGTGGGAAAAAAAATTGTGGTTGACTTCTCATGTAAGTGGCAGTTATTTTCAGGAGCAAATAGAGACCTTTGTAGTTTGAAGCTAGAATGAGCACAGAAGACAATAAAGCCAGGAGGTAGTGAGTGACAAGGAGTAATTAAAATAAATCCTCAAAAGATACTAAAGACCTTTACTACAATAAAACATGAGTATAGTGTGTGAGAGTGAATATAAGAACACAATGAGAGCCGGGGATTTAACTCCATGGCATAAGCACCTGCCCTCCAAGTGTACGTCATGAGTACTTGATCCCTGATACAAAAAAAAAAAAAAGAATAAAGTAAGAGTTGACATAATAAAGATGAGAATTTATACATGGAATTTTTTTTTTTTTTTTTTTTTGTACTGGGGAGCAAACTCATGACCTTGTGCTTGCCAGGCAGGTGTTTAAGCCAGTGAGCTAAATCCCTGGTTATACATGGAATTTTAGTGGATTTATTCTTTTTTTTTCCCAGACAAAGTCTTGCTATGTAGTGCAGGCTGGTCTTGAGCTCACCATGATCCTCCCGCCTCAGCCTTCCAAGTTCTGGGATTACAGGCATGTGCACCAGTTTAGATTCATTCTTTAACTTCAGATTAAAGTGCTTAAGTGAAGTATGAGGTGAGCGTCCCTATCTAAATCTACAAAATATTAAATGTCCTAAAATTTAAGACTTTCTTTTCTTTTTAAATATTGGGGATTGGACCAGGGCCTTTGCAGTGAGTCTCCCTAAATTGCCCAGGTTGGACTCAAATTTGGCAATCCTCCTGTTGTAGCCCCTGCAAAGTGCTAGGATTACAGATGTATCCAACGATGCCCATCTGAAGTCCAAAACATTTTAAAGTATTCACATGGTATTACAAATGGCAAATTCCACACCTGACCTCATGGGACAGGTCACAGTCTAAACAAAGTCCAATGGTCTGATGCTGAGTAGTACAGTACTGTACTTGGTGTATAAAACTGCCCTTAGGCGATGTGCATGAGGCATATATGAAACATAAAGAATAGAGTACTTGCCTAGCATGCATGAGGCCCTGGGTTCCATCACCAGCACCACAAAATGAACAAACCAAGAAAACAAACAAATTTCATGTTTAGATATTTCATTAGATATACAAATTAAAAAATCTGAAAAATTTAAAATCTGAAACATTTCTGACCTCAAGCATTTCAGATGAGGGATACTCAGCCTGTACTATTAAATAATGGTATATGATATAGGACTTTGTGACAACTATTTTGGTATAGATTTGTATCTTACCTTCATTTGTGTTTCTAATGGTGTCTGTGCCAAGAAAGGAGGTTGTCCCACCAACATTTCAAAAAGAATAACACCAACACTCCACCAATCACACAACTGTGTATAGCCTAAAAACACCAAAATTATAGTTATTTTTAAGCAATCTTTTTAAATGCTTGGAAATAATACAATCAGTATTAACATTTAATCACCAATTTATATCGTCAAATCAATACTTTTCCCAAAATCTGAAAAACAAGGGATATTCTAGTGCTAAGTTTTGGGCTATTGAGATTATTTATGAAATAAATAAATGTTCTACCTGTTCGTAGCAACACTTCAGGTGCAATATAATTAGGAGTCCCAACCAAAGAATGTGCTAGACATCGCTGGTGCTGGCGAGCAGCTCTGCGCTCTAGAGGCTTTAGTCTGTCTCCACATCGACAGTTGGAGGGATCACCCCACTCACTGCTGAAATCCATGCTATCTTGCCGTGGATGGTCACCTGGCCAGTAAAAAGAAAATAAAGTAACAAAGAAAAGATAAACCTCAAGTCTATTTAATCTTTTAATTTCTTGACTTACGACAAATCAAAACATAAACTGTGCCAAATCACTGGTGATGTTTAATACTAATAAGGACCAGTTTTAAGAGATACAGAAAAAGTTTTATACCAAGAAAATGTAAGAGAAATTTACTCAGTGTTAAATGATAAGCCATGATCAGCTAGGTTTACGAATATTATTCAAAGAGCTGGGGTGTAGCTCCGTGGCAGAGGGCTTCTTTAGCATGCATAAAGCCCCAGATTCAATCCCTAGTGTTAGTATTAGGGGGAAAAATGTTATTAAGACTGCTCTGTTACTACTCTGGGCAAATTTTCAAACAAATTAGATCAGTGTTTTGTTTAACAAATGATGAAAATAAAAAATAAAAAGTTCTTTACAACTTACCGGCAGCTTACAGACAACACAACACACACACACACACACACACACACACACACACTCATAAAAGAAACTTAGTGACAGTGGGGCTAAGTGTATGGCTCAGAGTTAAGAGTACACGTTTAAATGTACACAAGGCAGCATTGGGTTCAATCTCCAGTACCCCGAAACAAAACAAAAAAATGAAAAAACAAAAACAGTCTGGGCATGGTGGTTTGCATCTCCAGTCTCAGCCACTTAGGATGCTGAGGCAAGATAACCTGAACCCAGTTCAAGGCTAGCCAGGGCAACATACCAAGATCTGTCTCTTATTTTAAAACAGGGCTGGGGGGAGTGTAACATGGTGAAGTATCCCACACAGACCCTCAGCCCAAATGACAAGACAAATGTGACTGGACAGCAATACTTGACTGGGAAGCAAGAGAGCTCAATTGAGAAGGTGGCATTTGCTGGGATGTGAAACACAAGAAAGACTCAATCATTTGAAAACCAAGGCAAGGTTTTCCACAGAGAAAGAGGAGAGAGAAGACTAGTATATCTGAGAAAGGCAAGAATTTGAAAATAAGGCAGGAGCCAGAACACATGGGTTTATATCATGAAAAGCAACAGGAGAATCTGAGGCAAGAAGGTGACAAGATATGATTTATGTTTATAAAAAGCAAATTTTAGCCAGGTGTGGAGGTGCACACATCTGTAATCCCAATAAACTACATAGTGAGACTCTGTCTCAAATTTTAGCTAATTGTTGAGAACAGACAATAAGGGGATAAAAGTAAAAACAGAATAATAAAACGCTATAATCTGGATATGATGGCACAGGGCTATAATCATAGCACTCTGGGAGGCTGAGACAGAAGGATCACAAGTTCCAGCTCAGCCTGGGGAATTTAGTGAAAGCATGTCTCAAAATAAAAGAAAAATACTTTAAGGGATGGAGATGTAGCTCAGTACAAAGGCCTTGTGTTCAATCCCCGGTATTGCAAATAATAGATAGACAGATAGATAGATAGATAGATAGATAGATAGACAGACAGATAAAATAGATAGATACAGATGGCTGTTATAAGTCATGTGTGGTGGTACATGCCTGCACTGCACTCAGGAAGTTGAGGCAGGAGGATCTCTTGAGTCCAAGAGTTCAAGATCAGCCTGGGTAATATAGCGAGACATCCTCCAACCTCAAACAATAAAAAATAAGAGGCTATTACACATAAACTTGGATTACAGTGTGGTAACAGAACTGCAGAGTAGTGAATAGATTCAGGATATATTTTAGAGAATAAACAAGACTTATTAATAGATTAGATGTGGAGGGCATGGGTAACAAAAGAATCAGGACAACCAGGTAGGTAGTGGTGGTACACTTACTGAAACAGGGAAGACTGGAGGATTGCAGATGTAGGTAGTAGTTAAAGAGTTTCCTAATTGGCAGTGTTTAAACAGTCTATTTGTTAAATGTGAACGGCCTGTTTGAAATCAATGTGGAGATTTATATAAGAGGCAACTGGATACAGAAATAAGTGATTTCAAGGAGACCATTTCTGACAACAGAAACTTGGAAGTCACTAACATATATTACATGGTATTTAAAGGCATGATTGGATGGAGTCACCTATAGAAACATATCTGAAATTAACTGTAATGATTACATTGTATCTGGGAAGTTTCATTAAAATACAATTTTGATTCTCTGTGAAGATTTTTATACAAAAGACTGGATAGAACCTAGGAATCTTATTTTTAGGAAAAACCACAAATAAGATGAATCTGGGGAGACACTAAATTCTGTCCATTTAATGTCAATCAGCATGTATTCGCAAAGGAAGCTAATAATACCTCAGAGGACTGCTGTAATTGTTACAGTGTACATAAAGTACCTAGTGTATAGTAAGTATTCAGCAAATGTTACATCAACTTACTTTCATTAGTACTTAAAGGGATTTGGTGAGGCAGTGTGGTATGGTAGAAATAGTAAGAGCCCTATAATCAGACAAATCTCAGTTGAAGGCCTAGCCCTTGTATTTAATTTCTGTCTGATCTTGGGCAAGTTACTTCATCTTACTAAAGTTTCATTTTCTTGGGCCAGGGATTTAGCTCAGCAGTGTAAGTGCCTGCCTGGCTAGCGTGAGGTTTTGAGTTTGATCCCTGGTAGAGAAAGAAAGTTTTATTTTCTTGATACTGTTTCACAGTGTCAGAGGATTAAATAGAACCACAAAATGTTTAGCATTTAACTGTGTAACAATCACATAGTAGAATCCTAAATAACAGTGGAAGTAACTGTTATATACAATAACATGCACAAACTTCAAACTTGTAAGTCAATACAGAAGAATACATATGATTAATTTTTTAAATTTTATTTTAAAAAGGAGTAAAACTAAACAGAACAAAGCAGATCACAAGAAAACAATGTGACACAGATTTCAAAATAAGACAAGAGATCTACAGTAGCTACCATAATGTCCCTTGTTTTCTTCTAAATGTTTGTCTATATCTTCACACACAATGAATTCATACAAAACAAAATAATATAAAACTTATCAGAACAGGGTAATAAAGATATTACAGGCCTTCAAAACCAGACAATATGAAAATTAAAAATGGTTGCCATAATGTCTCTTGTTCTCTTCAAAATAGCTTTTCATACCTTCATGTATGTTGAAATTAAATCATACACAACAGACTAAAACCACTCTAAACAAAGACATTATTGGATTTCACAGCATGATGATACAAAATCAGCAACAGATACAATCATGTCTGTTTTTCTTCAAAATAGCTGTTCATTTCATCACACATAATATAATCGATTCTTGTAAACTGTTTAGAAGTTCCAGGCATGTAAAAGCCTCTACATGTATAACTATCCTTTCTGCATTGGAGTGAAAAGCAAAACAAAACAAAACAAAACACGACTACTAGAAAAATAAGAAACAAAAAAGACAAGTAAATAACAACAGCAAAGAGCCCAAAACAATAATGATACAAGCCTGTTCTGGTAGGAACAGAACTAAGGTTAATATTTTACATAGTAAAGGATGATTATATTTAAATAAATGTTCAGAATTAAAAATTGAATTAACATTGTATTTAGGGATCTATACATACACAACTAAAACACAGACTAAAGCAAAAATACTGACTGCAAAATTCTGAAGTAAATGTTACCTCTGGAGCAAAGACAAGAAAATGACTGTTTAGGGTAGTCTAAAATATTAACTTGGTAAATATGGAGCTTCATTTAAAAATTACTTCAAAAAGATATTGGTGTAGTCAAAGACTTTATGACTAAAACCGTGATCGCAGAGGAACTGTCACAAAGAATCAACAACTGGGATCTCATCTTATTAAATTTGTACAGCAAGAGAAACCACTAACAAGAGAGTAAAGACGATTTACAATGTGGGAAAAAACATGTTTGCTTGCTGGTCCTCAAACAAAGGATTACATCCAGAACATATATAAAAAACTCAAAAAAAAAAAAAAAACCCACCCAAATTTAAAGACCCAATCCAAAGGACTTTTGAAGTGAACACATACTTCTTAAAGAAATACAAACAGCAAATATCTATATGAAAAACTGTTCAACATCACTAGTCATTCAAGAAATATAAATTAAAACAACACTGAGATTCCATCTCACTCCGCAAAGAATGGCTATTATTAAGAAATCAACCAATAACAAATGCTGGAGGGGCTGCAGGGAAGAGGAATCCTTTCCCACTATTGGTGGGATTGTGACTGGCACAACCACTGTGGAAATTCTTCATAAAACTAGAATTGAAGGTTCCATTTGATCTAGTTATTACCTTGCTGTTTTTAATTCCCAGAACAATTAAAAACATCATACCACAGTGATCTATGTGCACCCATGTTTATAGCAGCACAATTTGTAATAGCTACAATCTTGGAAACAACCCAAAGGCCCATCAACCAAAGAATGGATAAAAGAGATGTGGTATTTTTACACAATGGAGTACTATTCAGTCATAAAGAAAGATAAACTTGAGGCTTTTGTAGGTAAACAGATGTCACTAGAGACCATATTCATAAGTGAAATAAATCAGACTTGTATGTGTATACGTTGTATTGTCTTCCTAGTGTGAGAAGCTGAAAGGAATTATGTGTGTATATATAGAGAGAGATAGATGTTTAAGATAGTTATACTACTAATTTCTGTTAGTTCATTGAAAAGAAAGGTCTGATGCCGACATCTTGTACTCTGAGTAACTAATTTAAAGATAATATGCAATGTATTAACCACTGTTACCCTATAGTTATCTTGCTTTGAAATTTGGGGGTTTTTTTAATCTTTAAAATAAAAAACAAGGTAATCTGAGTAACTTTTGATGATAACTATGCAAAATAACAACCTTGTTTTGAAAGCCTATACTGTTACTGTTTTGGGCTCTTCGCTATTGTTGTTTCTGATTTTCTTGTATTTCACTTTGTTTTGGTTTTCCGTATCATACAGAAAGGACAGATGTACATGTATAGGCTTATACATGCCTAGAATTTGTGATAAAGAATTTATAAGAATTGATTTTATTTTACGTAATAGTATAAACAGCTACTTTTAAGAAAATGAGACCTTATGGTAGCCATTCCTGATTTTGTCATCTTGTTTTGAAGTTCAGTAATGCTTTTATTCTTTGATTTGATTGATTTTAGTCTGTTTTCTATATTTGATTTCAATATATGTGAAAGTATAGACAGCTATTTTGAAGAGAACAAGAGACATTATGGTAGCCGCTACTGATTTTCCTATTGTCTGGTTTTGAAGGTTGGTAATCATTCTTTTGATTTGATTAGTTTTATACTGTTCTGTTTTGTTTCAATTCAATGTGTGTGAAGATATGGACAACTATTTTGGGGAGAGCAGGAGACATTGTGGTAGCCATGGTTGATTTCCTGTTGTCTTGTTTTGAAATCCTATGTTGTTTGCATTGTTTTGTTCTGATCCACTTTGTTCTGCTTTATTTTCTTTAAACTTAAAAAAATAAATAAAATTTTAAAAAATTACTTCAAAAATGTTGTCTGATATATTTCAAAATTAAATTTTTTAAAGAGGTTAACTTACAAATGCTAATATTTAGAAACAATCAAATTTAGCACTCAGGAGGCCAAGAGAACCAAATTTGAGGTCAGCTTGCACTGCATAGTAAGACTTTGTCTCAAAACACCAAAATAAATAAATAACATACAAGCCTTTCATTCTATAAATCTAATGAAGTACATAAAGAATTCACCTCACTTTATACAGCAGAGTAAAGACCTGCCCCAGGTCTCTTGGCTCCCCTCCAGTGATGATACCGTCTTATATTTTGCTGCATAAATAAATCACATTATTATGAACTAAAATAAACTTTAAGAGTTCACTTACCACTCTGATAGTACTTGGAATCATGTGTCCATCTGAAGCCAGTGCAGAGGCCAAAGTCAGTCAATTTAATATGACCATCACGATCAATCAAAATATTATCAGGTTTAATATCTCTATGAATAAAACCCATTTTATGAACACTTTCAACTGCACAAGTAAGTTCTGCTATGTAGAATCGTGCCAGATTTTCTGGAAATATTCCCATTCTAATTAACAGGCTCATCATATCACCTCCAGGAATGTAGTCCATTACAAAGTATAAATTGTCCTTATCTTGGAATGAATAATACAAGCGAACTACCCATTCATTGTCAGCTTCAGCCAGGATATCTCTCTCGGCTTTAACATGAGCAACCTGATTTCGAAGCAGAACATCTTTCTTTCGAAGAGTTTTTGTTGCATACAAAGCTTTAGTATCTACTTTTCTTGCTAGACAGACTTCACCAAATGCTCCTATTCCCAGTGTCTTTATCTTGACAAACATAGACTTGTCCATTTTAGCCCTTTTCAGACGAATGTAATTAGATTCTTTTTGGCAAAGCATCTTTCTCATTTGATCCTGGGCATCTTGAGATAATCCAACCTGGGTAAATAGACTAAATGTTAAATGAGGAATTTTCTTCAATATTGAATATTCAGAAGTAGCTTTAAAAAAATCAAGCACATAATATAAAGGTTAAATGCATAATAAATTTTTAATAAAGCATGTTAGAAATGTAGAACATATTCAGAGAAAATTGATAATCAAAAGTGCAGCTTAAGAAATAGTTAACAGGATCTATAAAGTGATTATAAAAGCCAATTCAGCTGTTGAGACCAAAAAGAGGATACCAACAGGCAGCTTTCTGTTCCCTAGTACACTCAAAAACAGTTTCCAAGTGTGCAATAAAACAATGCCTTTTAACATGCATTTTCAACTCTCTCCATGCAGCCCCCTCCCCCAACTTTTCAGGACAGGGTCTCACTAAATTGCAAACACTAGTCTAGAATTTATGATCCTCCTACCTCAGCATCTCAGAGTGCTAGGATTATCGGCATGTGCCAACATACCTGGCTTCATCCAAAAACTACAGGATTAGAAGGACTTTATTAAATACTTCCTTTTTGGCATGCTTAGGCCTCAGACATTTTTCCTCACATTTTATCCTTCATGAAAAAAAATTCTTCTACTCTGTCTTACATATTCTTAAAAATGATGCATTTCAAACAAAGGAATACTTTCTATAACCTACCAACCCTTTCTCCCATTCTCAAGAAATAAACTATCATTACTGAATCTTTTCTCCTTCCTAGATCATTTGAGTAAGAGTGAGAGTGACAGCCTATCACTAACATAAAATGCTAAGAGTATCTCCTATCTCATTTACATGGGACAACCTAGTTGAAAATATTTTTTAGATATTTAGGAATATTTCAAAGAATAATCAGTGTGACTTACAAAGATGTCAAAAAGCAGATGAATACAAAAAACTTCTAAGAAGATATAAAAATACTTAGATTTAGAAAGGAAAAAGTTTCTTTTGGCTAATAAATAAAAAGTCTAAATAGAAAAAGAATTCAACTGGAAATGTAGGATCTAAGTTTAGAAGTGTAAGACTAAGTCAAATTTAGCAATCTCATGCTTCTGTTAGGATGCATATTTACATGCAGAATCTTTTAAGGAAGGCTGGCATGCTAGATTTAGTACGAAACTGTTTCTCTTAAAAATCTTACTTGCCGACACAGTAATGGAGGCTACAGAAGTCAGCAAAGCTTCCAACACCATAAAAGCTTAAATCAGCTATTAGTCAAAGTGAAGAGGAAAAAGGAAAAATAAACTAAGAAAATACATTCAGACAGACTGTAGTAAGAAATCCTAAACACTATTAATTATGAGTAAATAAAAAATTATCATGGTATTTCTCATCTAACATAATTCAGTTTATAGTAAGAATAATAATACTGTATGGTAAAATCAGATTCGGAATAATCAATTTTGTAAGAATAGTCCTCTCAAGTATGTTCAAGAAGTTAGACTTTGAGTGGTATATGTAAGATTAGGAGTGAAATGTTTGAATTTTAAATGTGATAAAATCAACACTGATGATAATACCACCATAATATCCTTTTTTTTTTTTTTTTGTCTTTTTCCTTTTTATTGGTACCGGGGATCGAACTCACGACTGCCTGCTTACAAGGCAGGTGCTTATGCTGCTGAGCTAAATCCCAGCCCCACCACATAATATCTATTAAAGACAGCATCACAATATAGATCAAACTAAAGCATTTACTTATTCTGATCTCCTTGATACTACACTTTTACTTAATAATTTGGGTATTTCTTCTAGGATATTAATAAAATAAAATTAGAAGGGGTAAATAATTAAAAGGAAATATTGCTGACACTTTTTAATTAGACCTATGTGTTCAATAATTCAAAAGCTTATACCTAAAAAGAAATGTAAGAAATATATCTTCATCTTCTTTTTCTTTTTTGATACTGAAGATTGAACTTAACGGCTTTCACACTGAGTTATAGTCCTGAACTCCCAACCCTTAGTTTATATTTTTGAGACAGAGTTTTGATGGGGTCTTACTAAGTCTCCCAGTCTAGGCTTAAACTTATCAATCCTCTTGCTTCAGTTCATTCAGCCTCCCAGAGTGTTGGGATTACCATCATGTGCCACCATGACCCACAAAAAAATGTTTCCAATGTATGTGAGGAGAGGATATTACTAGTTGATTTTTAATGTTCTAACATAATGTGTAAGCCTAGAAAATAACTCTTGCTCTAATTTCCATAAAAAGAGGTAATATACACCTAAATTTGTATGCCATAGTTGTATTTTTCTTAATTTACACCAGAACTTTTTTATAGGAAATTCTGAGTTAATTTTGAAATCCTATAAAATGCAATATTCAAAAGTACTTTACAGGGCTGGGGATATAGCTCAGTGGCACAGTGCCTGCCTGGAAAGCACTGATTCCCAGTACCAAAGGAAAAACAAAGTAGTTTGCTCACTTAAATGACTAATATATTACATTTAGTTATAAAAAGAAAAATACTAGAGCAAAATATTTTAAAATAAATACCAAGTAAATACATCATCAGATACAAAAATAGGTATTTCAAAAAGTTTTACCCGCATCATCTCATTCTCTAGTTGTTTTTTACGATGCAGACGTTGCTGATGAGATTTGAGGACATTTTCTACATGTTGTTCCATATAAAATTTAAATGCCTGAGGAGAATAACTCTGAATGCGAGATTCCCTTCGCTCTTCATCTCTCTTGTTTTTTCTAACAGTGATAGGTGAAGTTGTAATCTGCTTCTTTTCTTTATCCCCACTATCAACATTTTCAAAACTTTTCTCATCCTCATCTTCCTTGGGCAAGCTAGACTGATCCTCTTTGCTAGACTTATTTACTGATTCATATGGAGGAACTGGTGAGTTTTGGTGTAGCAGATGTTTTGGATAAGGTGGTGGTGGACCTTGGTAGGTTGGAGCTTCAGCAACAGATGGCATAACAGTAACAGTTGAAGCGGTACCCTCAGAAAAAGGGCTAGGTTGAACAGTTTGAACTGGCTGTGGTATCCAAGAAGGGTGGGTAGGTGCTAAAGCAGTCTGTAGCTCAGGTTTTAACACACGCATGCTTTTCACAGGCTGTTGAATAGGAGCTGGTGTGATCGCAGTGACTGTTGTAGCTGAAGGCTGAGAATTAGCTGAGTGACTTGTTCTATTTCCTAACGGGTTATTGAAAGAATTTGACCTGACTGGCATGTTAGGTTGCCATGTGGGAATTTCATGCCCACTGCTTGGGGATGATTGAGCAGGAGCAGAAGATGACTGAGGCCAAGTTGTCTGCAGTCCAGGGATGTTAATATTGTAAAGTTCCATGTTATGACTATTTCTGTTTGGCACCATCACAGACTGAGGCATGCTTCCATTTGTATATGATGAAGGTGCAGTAGATCCCACTGTTTGTAAAGTGGAAGGGCTTTGTCCATTAGTTGGTGTCAGAGGATATGGAGGGGGTGGCTGCCGATTCACAGTGCCAGCAGAGATATTTTGGTGTATCATAAAATCAGTTTGACCTCCATTCTGAATTCCAGGTCTCCCTGGTGTAAAGTTAAATTTGTTAGAACTCTGCATGATGATTGGCTGTCTGCCAACAGGAACAGAACTAATGCCTCTCTGTCCCTGGTTAGGAGGATTCATGGTGGAAGTGTTAAGCGGTGGTGGAGGATAACCTTCTTGCCACGCCCCAGGTGGAACAGGAGAGATTCGGGAAATTACATATTCCATGTTCCCAGAATACCGCTTTGTTTGAGAGTTTGGTTCCCATGATGGAGGAGGCGGAGTTGTACCTCGTGGAGGGGGAGTCTGGCCTCTTGGAGGAGGTGGTGGAGTGACACTCCTTACTTGAGGAGGTGGTGGGGGATTTACTCTCTGTCCATTGTTTGGGTGAGCTTGAGCAAATGCTGTTATACCGGATCCAGATAAAGGTCTTCCTACATCTGTCTGTGAGTTGGGACTTTCAGAACAATAGGCTACACTTTCTCCTAGAGGTGGGCCATGTCTCTGAGGAACCAAGGACTCTTTAGAACCTTTCCAGCTTTGTTTGCGGTTAATTGACTGTTGCACACTTCCTATGATTATAAAAGAGAGAAAAATCATGTTTTTAACCTCTTAGTTTTGAAGAATTTAATCTGAAATTTCAGTACTTCCAAATATTACTCAAGTTCTTTCAAGAACTATTAACAACAGGAATGGCTTTAAGAAATCTGCTACAATACAGGTTCAAATTCCCTATTATGCATGCATTCATTATGTATATCTAAAATGTACCAATAAAATTAGTAATAAAAACAACCAATAACATATAGTAAGGCTGTGGGGAAAAAAGAATCTTTATTCACTGTTGATGAGAGTGTAAATTGGTACAACCAGTAAGGAAATTAGTATGGAGATTCCTCAAAAAACTAAAACTAGATGTTCCATTTGGTCCAGCTGTTTCCATTCTTGGTATCTTTCCAAAAGAAATAAAAGCACCATACCACAACGATAAATGCACACCCATCTTTACAGCAGCACAATTTGTAATAGCTAAATCTTGGAAACAGGTTATAGATACTCATTAATGAATGAATGGATAAAGAAAATGTGGTTTTCATATACAATGGAGTACTACTCTAACATAAGAAGGATAAACTTGAGACACTTTTAGGTAAATGGATATACCTTGAAACCGTACATTTAAGTGAAATAAATCAGACACATTAAAAAAAATCTGCTACATAGCAAGACCCTATGCCCTCAAAAACAAAAACAACAAAAAAAGCAGAAAACTTTTGTACAACATGATTTGTTAGTAACAATGTATTGCATTCTTTTTTTAATGGAAAAAATAAGATAAAATTTCATAGCAAAATAACAAAAGAATAACAAGACATAAAAAACATTGAGTATTGTCATCTATAAGAGTACAAGACAGGGGCATAAAAAAAATTCTCCAAATGATATTAGCACAAACCTTTCTTTTCAATGAACTAAAAGAAACTAGCAGTATATCTTGTATTTTTTTTTTCTTTTTCCTTCCTTTCCCCTTTCCTCCTTAGTTCCTCTTTTCTTTTGTATTCTTGAAAATTGGTCAGATTTTGTGTTCTCACCACAAAAACTATGTGAAATAGACTATATATTAATTAGTTCAATTTAGCTCAAAAAGAAAATATTGTCAAACTTCAGTAAGTGGTTTTATTTTATCTTTAAAAATTTCATTTTTGGGGCTGGGGATTTAGCTTAGTGGCATAAGCACCTGCCTTGCAAGCAGGTGGTCGTGAGTTCGATCCCTGGTACCAGAAAAAAGAAAAAAAAAAAAGAAAGATGAAAAAAAATTTCATTTTTGACTAGGGTAATACAATCTCATTAATCAAAATTTACAAGATACAAAATGGTACCCAGACTTTCCCTTTACCTACCAATTTCCTTCCTTAAGGTATTCAATTGTCAGCAGAAGTTATTTAAAAGTCATAAAAAATTCTGTGCAGACATCATTTTATACAAATGCATGTGTTATTTGTAAATTATTAGAAGGGAAACTACTAAATCAGAGGATATGTTCATTTGTAATTTTGATGGATGTAACTACTAATTTTAATGTGGCTTTTAAAACAAAAAAGTTAGCAGGAGATAATCAGTTGAACACTTAATGTCACATGGATTTTACAGGGTCTGTATTTAATAGAATTTCTAAATTAATGAAATAAGGAAGAAAATATACAATACCATAAAATGGATCTTAAATGGAAGCACTTAAATGGAACAGTCTGGTCACTTGGAGAAAATATGTCACACATTAAAAAATATACTCTGTTGGGGCTTAGAAAATCCTACCTCAAAGTTTTGACATGATGAACTAGAGAGACAGTTTAGAATTAAGGTCTCTCTTACCTTTCCCCTGCCCTCATCTCTCTCTGGTCACTGATCCTTTCTCTCTAAGCCATTATCTGAGTAAGACAAGTCTCTTCCCAGAGGAATGCAATTTATAAGAAATATTACTAACCAGAAAGGATTAAACACAGAAGTTATTGAAAAGCAAATTCTAGACTTAGAGCCCAGAGGAACTTTGTCTGAAACCACTGACTATTTTTGGATTTATTCATCTCCTCTAAAAATCTTTTTCTGTTCTAAAACTGTACCCCACTACACACACACACTTTCCTCTTTCCTATGAAGAAGGTATTTAAGTCTCAACAATTTGACCCTTCTCTGAGAAGATATATGCGTGCATGCATACGTGCATGTGTGTGTATGTGTGTGTATATACATACATACATATATATATATATATATATATATATATATATATTTTTTTTTTTTTTTTTTTTTTTTTTTTTTTTTAACGGAGATGGAACTCATGACCACACACTTGCAAGGCAGGCCCTTATGCTGCAGAACTAAATCCCTGGCCCCTGAGCTTTTACATTTTATATGGCTCCTATACACATAGATTTGTATGCCTTTGCTCATGTTTATCTACTGTCAATATATTTCAGCAAATTTAAAGACCAGAACCTTTAGAGAAGGGAGGAAAAATTCCTTTCACTGCTACATTCTACATTCCAGAAGGATTAAAGATTAAATATTAAAGATAAAGCTATATAAACACTAAAAAAAACAAGCCTTTCAAAAGTTTATGAGTATCTTTTATACCTCTTGGGAAGATCTTCCCAAGAATGACAGAGATGGAGATCTAAACATGTAAAACACCCATTACTATTCAAAATGAAACAAGAAACACCTACAAATGTGAAAGCTCACTATCATCCTGGGAGAAAATATATATGATACCACATATAAGAAAAAAAAGCACTAAATTCAGAATATTCAGTTTAATACTGCATTGCAGGTACAATTGACAGCTTTTGGGTCTGTTACTTCTGGGAAAATCCTCACTCTGGACAAGCCTGGCCATCAGGCTCAGGCTTACTTTCCTTAGATGGTCAGTGGAGGCCCCAACTACCATGCCACTTATCAGTTAAAATGTAAGTTTCTACCAGCCTGGAGTATATGGCTGTCTCTGCTGTCCTGGGCCTCTGTAAGAGCCTCTACATTCTTCCAGTTCCCAGACTTCTCTGCCAGTTTCCAGATTGCTCTGTTGCACAGTCAGCCAGCGCTCTTCTATCACTGACTTATCCCCAACTTTCCTGCCACCATTTTCAAACTAGTTTTTTCCCCCCTGCGATGTTACTTTCCTTTCAGCCCTCAGAAATTAAGGTTTTCCTTAAAAATGAACAAGGCCAAAAGGTTAAGGTTCTACACCTCTGCTCTCCATTTGATTCTAGATCATTATTTCTTTTAAAAAGCTGTCTCTGGTTGCTTGGCAGGTACAAAACCCTGGGTTCCATTCCCAGCATGACAAATGATAAAGTCAGAGCTTTTGTAGCTCATCCTATTTGGACAGCCAGGTCTATTTCCCGACCTAATGAGTTCCTACTCTGTTTCTCACTCAGCTATAACTCTGGCATTTGATTTACCCTCCGGCCTATAACCTCAATGTTCAGATGGATGAACCACACTATCCTCATCTTTCAGTTCTTTGACCCTCTCCCTTTAGTCTAACTCAAGTATCACTCTTATGATCATATTTCAAATTTTGGTTATCACTCTTATCTATTATTCTTTCATAATGAGTAATACAGTTTTCATTCTCTCCAATTCCTCCTGTTTTAACACTACTACAGAAGTTCCTTAACCTTATCAAAAGCTTCACGATTAATTCTCTTTATGGTACATTTGATCTAGCACAAATCCGTAATCCATCACTTCTTTCTTCCTTCGGTATTGTTTTTCTTCTTTTATTGTTTCAATTTATTCATTTATTGAGCATCCATTATATATCAGGGCCTCCTCCAAACAATCCAAATACATTGGCTATCAAGATAATACCCCTGGACCCAGGGAACCTATATTCACAGAGGACACAGACAATAAAAAAGTGAATAAACAAAGTAATTTCAGGGTATAATAAATTCTTTATGTAAAACATAAATGCTGTCAAATTAGGGACAGAGAAAAATAAGATGACAGAAAGCAATGAAATTCAGCAGTCAGAAAAGGCTCCTGTGGGGGATGACATAGGAGCTAAGACTGGGTAATGGCCCTGAAGTAGAAGTTTGGTATTTTCCAAGAACAACAAAAAAAAGCCTGGGATGGGCATAGTGGGAGTATAGCAATGCACACCTACAATCTCAGCACTTGGGAGGCTGGGGTAGGACTCAAATTCAAAACTGGGCAGGGTTACACAGGAAGTTCAAGGCTGGCCTTGACTACATAGCAAGACTTTGTCTCAAAAAGAAAAAAAGAAACCAGGTTATGGCCAGAGAGCAATAAATGAGGGGACAAGTAATATTAGATAACATCTGTGAGGTAGCCAAGTCATGGAGAGAAATTTGGAAAGAATAAGAAGTCACTGAATATAGAGGATGAAAAATATGCTCTAAGCAGAGATTTCAACTACGCTTTTATCATTGTTATCTTTCTAACTTATTGTGTACTTGTTTAATAAAACCCTTGTCATGGGAAATTCCAAGTATTTCCTTTTTTCCTCATAGCTGCCAGAAAAGATGATGCAACAGGTAGATTCTACTATAAATTCATGTCAAGCATCTTTAAAGGACCTAAACACTGCCTGGAAACGCTATTGCTTTTTAGCCATCCTCAGCCTCCTCAAACTGCTTGTCAGCTTGTCACTCACAATTCTTAGCAAGTAATGGCTTTCTACTTCAGAAAAAAGACATAAAAAAGTAACTTCTTGATCTAACCATAACTTCCTAGGCCTGTCTGATCCTATTATGACAATTTCTCTTTCCAGTAAAGCTAACAACCTTTATCCCATGCTTTGGAACTTATCTCCTCATTGACTTGAACTTTCTCTCTTGAATATATAATTTTATCCTCTTAACTACTGTCATTCAATTATCTTTTAAACGTATAAATCTTTCCTATTAAAAAAATAATAAGTCTCTTCTTCCATTTGTATTTAGTCCTCTTATCTCAAAGTGTTATCTACAAAGCTGATGTAAAAACGGATTACTGGCCTCCTATGAGTTAAGTGGTAAGTATGGAAGTTGAAAGAAGTGAGAAATTTTATAGACCCTCAAAAAAGTTTGGTTTAGGCAGTGCTAGGCATTAAACCTGAGGCCTTACAAATGCTAGGCAAAGGCTCTACCACTACTCCCACACCCTTTTTTTTTTTAGCACTGGGAATTGAACTCGAGATCTCGCACTTGACAGACAGGATCTTGCTATGTAGCTCAGGCTGGTCTTGAGCTCATTATGTATCCCAGGGAAGCCTTAAACTTGCAGCAATCCTCTTGCCTCAGGTGCTGGGATTACAGGATTGCATAAGCATGCTTGGCCCCATCTCTTTGTAATTTTTATGTACTTTAAGATACGGTCTTGCGGGGCTGGGAAATTTAACTCAGCGGCATAAGCACCTGCCTTGCAAGCAGAGTCGTGAGTTCGAACCCTGGTACCGATAAAAAGGAAAAAGACAAAAAAAAAGATACGGTCTTGCTAAACTGCCCAGGCTGGCCTTGCAAATTTCCAGTCTCAGCCTCATAAGTAGCTAAAATTACAGTTATACTATCGATATTTTTAGCTTTTTATAGAAATCTGACAAGGTAATCAGATGTCTGCTAAATCCAATAATAAACTATATGGACTTACACTTTATATGCCACTTTTATTTCTTTGTGGCATCAAAACTTAGTGAAGGAGCCATGCACAAGAGTCTCACTTGGACCTTCCCTATAAACCCTTGTCTTTCCTCAGATATCAGCTGTTTTTCAGGAAGGTTTTCTGTTCTTGATTAGATAAAAATTCCTCTTATAGGAGTTCATAGTACCATGTAATTTTCCACTCCTCACCTACACACAGCTGTAATTCTACATATGTTTATCCAATTTATTTGCATTCACATTACTAGAATGTAAACTCTACAAAAGGGCAGAACTTACCCAATGTGAGACAAAGGCCTGAAACAGCGGTTGATCAATAAAAATTTGTTGAATAAAAGAATGAATACAGATCTCTTATAAGTCACTAAACAAACAAATATACAATTAACAAAGACATGAAATGACAATTTAAAAATAGGGGCTGGGGATTTAGCTCAGCGGCATAAGCACCTGCCTTGCAAGCAGGCGGTTGAGTTCGATCCCCGGTACCGATAAAAAAGAAAAAGACAAAAAAAAAAAAAAAAAAAAAAAAACTAGTAAGAGGCTGGAGGTGTAGTTCATTGGTAGAGCATGTGATTATCAGCACATGCAAGGCCCTGAATTCAATCTCCCTCACCAAACAAACAAAATTGTTCTGGGCATGATGGGCACATTCTGAGTATACTCTTACAATCCCAGGAGGCTGAAGTAGAAGTACAAATTCAAGATCCAGTCTGGACAACTCAGGGAGAGACTATCCCAAAATAAAAATTAAAATGACTAAGGATGTTGCTCTGTACACCTTGGGTTAAATCTCCAATACTGAAAACAAAACACAACACAACACAATAAAATACAACCATTACATATTCAAAGAAATGTAAAATTAGACAACAGTGTAAATTAAACAGAAAAAATAACATACAGTACTATTTATAAATATTTGGTATTGGGGCCGGGGATTTAGATCACTGGTGTAAGTGCCTGCCTGGCAAGCAGAAAGTTATAAATTTAATCCCTGGTACCATTAAAAAAAAAAAAAAAAAGGCTGGTAACGTAGCTCAGTAAGAACACTCGTCAAAAAATAAAAACAAATCAAAAAATAAAAAATCAACAAATATTTCGTAATCTTACATGTTTCAGGGAGTAGGTACTGGTGATTGAACCTAGAGCTCCATACTGAGTTACATCCCCATCTGCTCCCACTCTTCCAGACAGGTTCTGGGTAAGTCATTAAATTACCTAGGCTGGGTTTGATCTTTCAGTCTTCCTGCCTCAGCCTCCCAGAGTGCTGGATTACAGGTGTGGACACCAAGCCTAGCTTACATGGTACCACCTTTCTACAGCAATATCTATCAGAAACTATAAACATTTTCTAAATATTTAAAATTTATTTTTAGAAAATCACTAGGTATATAAAAGATTTGGATATACAAGTTTAAAACACAAATCAAAAATGGTAGAATGGTTAAATAAAGTATGTAGAACTATTAAAATTATTTTGTATGGCTGGGGATAAGCTCACAGGTAAAGCACATTTTTAGCATATGTGAGGTCCTGAGTTCAATCCTCAGCATCATACACATAAAGAAAATTAAAATAAAAATTTGTGTAACATTTAAAAACTAAACTGATACCAAGTATATCAAATGAATAAAGTAGGATTTGGTATGATATGATTTTTTGGCCTGAACAAGAATCAAAATATATATAAACCTATTCAGGTTTTCTCTGGGAAAAAAGGATAACATACACACACACACACACACACACACACACACACACACACACACACACACACACAAAGTACCACACCAAAATACAGCGGTGAACAGTGAGATTCATCAGCAATTAGCGGTGCCTGCCTTTAATCCCAGCACTCCATGAGGCAGAGGTAGGAAGACCGCAAGTTTGAACCCAATTTGGGTAATTTAGTAATTCTGCAAGAGACCTTGTCTCAAAATAAAAAGTTTATAAAAGAGACTAGAGATGGATGTGGTTCAGTGTGAAGGTCCTGGGTCCATTCCCCTTCTTTCTTCTGCTTAACTGCTGTCTAAATATTCTATGATGAATACAAGTTGCTCTCAAAATATGAAAATATATATATATATATATAAAAAGGAAAAAAAAAACCCAAGAGTTTTAATGATGGTATTTGGGCATAAAAAAAGATATGTTTAGGGCTGGGGATTTAGCTCAGTGGCATAAGCGCCTGCCTTGCAAGCAGGCAGTCGTGAGTTCGGTCCCTGGTACCGATAAAAAGGAAAAAGACAAAAAAAAAAAAAAGATATGTTTCAGTTGCACTACAACCACTCAAGTAGTTCTCAACCTGGAATGCTGCTTACCAGAATTACCTATTAATTTTAAATGTGAGGGTCCCACCCTCAAATTCATTTTGGTATAACACTATATAACTTATATTAAAATAAAAATTTGTGTAACATTTAAAAACTAAACTGATACCAAGTATATCAAATGAATAAAGTAGGATTTGGTACCTAATTTGAGACTTTCAATTAATTGCAGTGCTTTTAACAATTTCTAAGACCAAAGATTTGATATACTTAAGTGCTATAAAACTATCATAAAATAGACAAGACAAAATGTTTGATTAATCACCTGGTTTCATGCTGGCATTAATAGGTCTGGCAGCAGCTGCTGTAGCCATTTGCTCCCGCCGAGGATCCTGGTAACTCATTTTACTAATGAATTCAATTGCTGCTTCTATACTTCTATTATTAGTTTTCTGCAGAGCCTGTATAACCATATCCTGATAAGAAGTTAAAAAAATGAAATAAAATTTAAGTTTTATCATTAACAGGAGGTAAAGAACAATGTGAATTCCACTAGAGGAATTCATAATTACCAAGGACAGGGTCCTAAAACCACAATATTAATGTCCTATTTGTAACTACTAAAAACACCACCACTATCACAACAAAAACAACCATAAATCTCAAATTGCTACAGTAAACAAAATAAATCTTCAAACCTTTAACATATTTAATATTTTAACCTTTATGTAACATAATTTTCCCTTCTAGAATTTTCTTTCGGGTACAATCATAGCAAAATAACTCTGATTAAGTCTTGTGTCTTAATTTCATTCATATATAAACAGAGACTACTTGATTATTTACAAAGTTATCAATCAAAATACTGGAAAACATTATCATTAAAGCATTTTTATGTTACTGGATTTTATTATATGTGATAGTATAAACAAAATTTTTTTATGGACAAGGAGATAATATAGTAACCTTTGTTCGTTTTCTTTTAGTTGATTCTGACTACCCTATAATACTTTCATTCTCTTGAATTGTTTTACACTGTCTTTTTATGTTTGATACTATAGTTATATGAAGGTATACTCAATTATTTCAAGGAAAGAAACACTATGGTAGCTACTGTTATGTCAGATTGTCTAGTGATAAAACATTATATTGCTTAAACTGTTCTGTTCTGATCTGTTTTGTTATGTCCTCTTTTATCTTAATCTTTTTTTTAAATAAAAAAAGAATTTTTATGAAGCACTTTTTCTATTGTGTTTACTAGTAAAAGTACAATGTAGTTCTGTTTTTTCCTCTTAAGAGTTTATATTTTCAGGAAAGTGTATTTACAGGGACACAAATACAGGGTAAATGGTAGAATAATACAGATATAATTACGTGATGAAGATTCTAGGAGGTTAGACAGTCTGATAGAAGAAACAAGATTTGGAATCAGTATGATCTGAGCTTGAGCAGCTCCATTTAAAAACTGCATTAACTCCAGTAAGTTACTTAACATTTTAGAGCCTCAGTTTCTTCAACTATAATAAATTTTTAGAGTTGATGTCAAGATTAAATAAGAAAACTTGGAAAACACATAAATGTAGTGCCTAAAGCTCAAATACTGGGAGTATCCATTCCTTGTTCTTGTTAAGTGTAAACATAGATTATAAGCTAATATTCTGATATATATTTATCAAGAAAATGGAAACTGCTTACTTGTTCTAGAGGACTAAGCATTTCAAATGACATTCTAAAACGTCATTATGGCTTAGAAAAGGTGAACAGCTACTAACAGATGATTGTTCTACTGGAAATGAAAGTAAAACCAAAGAAAAACAGTTATGGAAGAGCAAGGGGTGAGCAAGTCTGTAATCCCAGCTACTTCACAGACTAAAGAAGAAGACTGTATTTGAAGACTGCCTGGGCAATGCAGCAAGGCCTTGTTTCAAAATAAAAAGGGCTAGGTCTATAGCTCAGTGGTACAGTGTTTGCCTCGCATGTGAGAAACCTTGAGTTTCATCCTTAGTACAACTAGGGAAAAAAAAAAAAAAAAAGGTGATAGAAACCAGTCTACCCAACATACAAAAGACTCTATCATTTTGTTGAAAAAGTTACTGATCTTGTTAGAAGCATGGTTTATGGAATACTTTTGCTATTTCAGATTTAGGTATTAGTTCTTTGTGCATTCTGTGTCCTAGGCAACAGATACAGTAGTGGTGCTGGAACATGATGTCACCAAGAAGTAAAATTCAAAAGATTCCTCCTAAGAGTCCTAGATTCTGATAGAAGCAGAGCCAATGATAACTATTTAAGCTAGTTACTATCTTGTTTAAAGCATTATTTGTATTTTTGTTGAAAACAACAAAGTAAATTCCTTACTAAAGCAAAGGTAATTTGGTCTTTTTTTTTTTTTTTTTTTTTTTTTTTTTTTTTTTTTTTGGTAAGAGGGATCGAACTCATGACCTTGTGCTAGCCAGGCAGGTACTTATGCTTTTGAGCTAAATCCCCAGCCCAATGATGGTCAAATTTTATGACAATTTAGACTTAGTAAATTTGTAATGATGCAAAGAAATTAGTAAGATTTTATATGCAAATTTAAAATAACACAAATAACCTCAAATTAAAATTCAACTTTTTTTTTTTTTTTTTTTGTCTTTTTCGTTTTTATCGGTACCAGGGATTGAACTCACGACTGCCTGCTTGCAAGGCAGGCGCTTATGCTGCTGAGCTAAATCCCCAGCCCCAAAATTCAATTCTTGAGTGCTTAATTTTAAAACTGATTAAAACAAATGAACTGGTAATTATGCTATTATCTATCACATGACAGTGCTACCTTAGCTGGCAGGAAAAAGTGGCACCCAGCCCACTATTGTTTTCATTACAGGAGACATTCTTGTTAAACACCCAGGAATTTCAGCCTGTGAGTTTGATGATTATGAGGCTAGTTTTTTTGTTTGTTTGTTTGTTTGTTTTTGTCTTTTTCCTTTTTATTGGTACCGAGGATCGAACTCACGACTGCCTGCTTACAAGGCAGGCGCTTATGCCGCTGAGCTAAACCCCCAGCCCCTGAGGCTAGTATTTTAAAAAATATTTAATGCTGTTTTAAAATATATTTTATATCAGGGGCTGGGGATTTAGCTCAGTGGCATAAGCGTCTGCCTTGCAAACAGGCAGTTGTGAGTTCGATCCCCAGTACCGATAAAAAAGAAAAAGACAAAAAAAAAAAAAAAATATATATATATATATATATATATATATTTATATCTATAATCTCAACCAAGTATTCATTAAATGAGGGTGTTAGTGTCGAATGTGAAGAACATCTTCAAATAAGTAACTTTTGGACATAAGTCTTATATGATAGAAAATAATAGGTCCAAATAATCACACTTGATTCTAGGTAAAAATACACTCCAGTGATTGTGTATTTACTCCTCCCACTCTTTATTTTTGTGGTGCTGGGGATTGAACCCAGGAGCATTCTGCCACTGAGCCAAATACCCAGCCCTTTTTACTTCTTTACTTTGAGATATAGTCTTGTTAAATAGCCCAGGCTGGCACTGAAGTCATGATCCACCTGCCTCAGCCCCCCAAGTAGCTGAGATTATGGGCATGTGCCATTGTACTCATTGACTGTACTGTAATGTATCACAGAATTATTGCTGTTATTTAAAATTTAATTTTTTTGGTTTGTTTCTGAGACAGGGTCTTGCTATGTAATTCAGGTTGACCTTGAACTGACTAGTCTAAACTGGCCTTGAACTCATGGCAGTCCTCCTGCCTCAGCCTCCTGAGTGCTGGGATTACAGGCATGGGTCATGCCCAGCTCTTAACATTTTATCTTAGTAAGAAATTAATCTGGAAATAGTTGAGCTTTTAATTCTACAGAGTCACCAGAAACCTTCTCAAAGACAAGAAAGAAAGCAGCTGTCTTGAACCTGGCAGAGTTTATAAAAGGAGTAAGCTAGGAGGGAAAAAAAAAAAAAAAGAGTACGCAGTATGCTAGGGTTTATAAAATAGTAAAAAGAATTAGATGAAAACTATGTAAGAATTTTGAAGTATCAAATTAGGCTCTTGATGATCTATAGTATAATAGGAAACTACAGAATAAGTGAATCAAGGAACTAGAGGCACATTGCAATATTTTTTGTATCACTATTAGTATAAGTAACACTATGCCTTTACTATTTGGACAAATGAGGAAGAACAAATGTCTAAGCACTTCTGGTGAAGGACTCTTAATTTACGGATTATTAGTGTCATGAAGCGACAATTTTGAGATGTATGATTGGACTAAAGCTAACGTATCTTTATAAGGCAAAGTCATTATTTTTATTACTGCCAATAAATACAAAATAGGACATTAGAGGTGGGGATGTTGCTCAGAATACAGTACTTGGCCACATGTGCAAGGCCCTACCAGATTCAATCCTACACTACACTACAGCACTACAAAAAGAAGATTAAAGATGAAGAGGAGGAGGAGGACAAGGAGGAGAAGGAGAAGGAGGAGGAGAAGGAGGAGGAGGGGGAGAAAGAATAAGATATTGATTAAATTGCTTTAGATTTCTTAAAATTATGTACATGAAGGAGCTGGGGGTTTAGCTCAGCGGCATAAGCGCCTGCCTTGAAAGCAGGCAGTCGTGAGTTCGATCGTGAGTACTGATAAAAGGGAAAAAGACAAAAAAAAAAATTATGTACATGAGAAAGAATTTTTAAGTCCCTTAAAGATAGGGAACATGTCTGGTATGACTTACTATCCTTACTGACTGGTTCACATACCTATACAGTAACTTATCTGACCTAGTGGCGATTATTCCTGTGTGATTTGATAAACTCTCTTTCCTTAACAATATATAAAGAGAAAGAATAACATCAGTGATTCCCTTTATTATTTCCCTTTTAGCTAAGGAAAAAAGTGCTCTGGAGAATCTCTATTCCAGTCATTTTCTTAATCCTACACAAAAACTATTCTAAGTCCTTTCCTCCTCTTCTCTCTCTAATTTCTGGTACAAATTCAGTATTTTTTTTTTTTTTTTGGTCTTTTTCCTTTTTATAGGTACTGGGGATCAAACTCACGACTGCCTGCTTACAAGGCAGGCACTTATGTCACTGAGCTAAATCCCCAGCCCCACAAATTCAGTATTTTTAGAGCATGTAAATATAAATAGGAAATAATTTTCATCAAATAGAATGAGTGAAACAGTAACCTTTTCTCCTAGTTTAGCTGTAAATTTTTCTTTTAAAATCTTTTACTATAATTCAGACATTGGCTTTCATTTTTAAAATTATTTAGGCACCAGATAACATGTTTCCATTAATAAGACCACAAATACAACACAATAATTGTTCCCATACAGCCTAGATGTAACTGGCTAGGATTGTATGGGTGTACTATATGACAAACACACAATGAGGAAATTGCCTGATAGTTTTCCCTTCACTGATTAATGCATGACTGCAGAGAGATATCTAGAAATGCAGCCACTAAAATATTAATAGTAAAAGAATTCTGGGCCAGTGATATAGCTCAGCAGTACAGTACCTGCGTGGCAAGTATAAGTTAATGAGTTCAATTCCCGATACCAAAAACAACAACAAACACAAAAACAAAGAATTTTAAGATTAATGGTCTTTGGTAAAGCTAAAGAAATTTTTACATCTCCTATTTTTTCTTTTTGTTGTTGTTGTTTTTTGTTTTTTGGTAATGGGGATCGAACCCACAACCTCACACTTGCCAGGCAGGTGCTCCTCAGCCCCTACATTTCCCATTTTTAAACTTTTTTTTTTCGTTCTTTAAGACAGGGTATCACTTTTTAGTTCTGACTTTAAATTCACAGTGTAGCTCTAGCTGGTCTCAAACTTGTGTAATCCTCCTCTCAGCCTCCCCAGATAGAGTTGAGAAAAGAACCCAAAGATGAGCTGGGGATTTAACTCAGTGGCATAAGTGCCTGCCTAGTAAGTGTGTGGTTGTGAGTTTGATCATCGGTACCACAAAAAAAAGAACCCCAAGATGAAGGGAAAAGAAAGGAAGGAGAAGTAAAAACATGTGTGATGTACATGCACTAACTTTCCATGATAAATGTAATCATTATGTGCCTCAAACATATATTAATAAACATTATTATTTTTGGTCTTTTTGAGACAGAGTCTTGCGATTTAGTTCAGGCTGGCCTGAGCTTACTTTGTAGCCCAAGCTGGCCTTGAACTTGTATCAATCCTCCTGCCTCAGCCTCCCAAGTGCTGGGATTATAGGCATGTGCCACCATGCCCAGCTTAAAAAATTAAATTTTAATTTTTTCATTTGCCACAACTGATTTCTATCTAAAATTATTTCTGCCATATAAAATATTTATTCACAAGGTATATTAAACAACTTTTATTATTAACCTAAACAAAATATGATTAAATAAATATTCTATGAAAAAAGTCTTCAAAATGAAAGCCAGGCACAGTGGCTTACATATCTAGTCCCAGCTACTTTAGAGACTGAAAAGAATCATAAGGTCAGGCTGAACAACAGAACAAGACTTTATCTCAAAAAAACAACTTTCTCTCTACTACAAACTTAAATTTCACATCCTTAGAGCTATCATATCTCTAGCAGTCACTGAGCTTGGGAAACTCATAATTCATACAGATGTCCTTTCCTACCTTTACCTGTGGCTTTCTTCAACTCAGAATTTAGTTACAGTTAGCAAAGAAGAAACAAAAAAAATAACAATTATTTTGTTATAACAGTTAAGTGAATTGTAAACATTCTTTGCTGACGAAATACACAAATTTGTATACATGGTCAAATTGTAGAACATGTGCTATTATTAGGTAGTACAAAGTAAGAACAAAAATTCTGACCTCATCAAATCCAGCAGCCTGCAAATCTTGAAACATTTGTGGATTAACTTCTGAAGTAATCCTGGATGAAGAACTTGTTTCATTTGCAAATGGTTGTAAAGAATTTCGAATTTCTTGCAAGGCTTTATGATATGTCCCAAATTTAGGCGGATTTCTCACTTGTCGAGCATCTTCAGTTGACATTTTGGTCATGTTATGCTCAGCCTTAGCAGCATCAGATGGTTTAGATAAATTCCTAAGGGATTCCCGAATTTCTTGCAACATTTGCCGACTGCTGCCAGTGTAGTTACTGGCAGGGAAGGTCTTAGGCCTCATTTGTCTATATCCTTCTGGCTTTTCACTCCTCTTCATGAAAACATCTATATATGTAACCCACACAAAGAAATTCTTTATGAGCTAGTCGATAGATTTAAAGCTTTCTCTTGATGAAAGTGGAAATAATTCTTTGATGAAGTCTTCAGGAACATTAAAATTCCTAATATAAATAATCCTGTAAAAGAAAAAATAAGTAACAGCTATAATTGATAAAGCAGTACAATGGACCTCACTGACACAGGAGTGAAAATATCCAGCTTATAGTTCTAATTCCATTAAGTAGTCACTGTGGGGAACAAGGTATTTGGCCTCTCTGTGCCTATTTCCTAGTTAAAACAGATTCACTGTATTTGCCTCAAACTGTACACACACTCCTTAACAACTGAGACCAGTTTCTGTGACTAGGTCCTTAAATGAATTGGTCCCTAAACAAAGTAATGTATATAGTATGTACATTACAATATTAGTAACAAAGAAATGGTCAAAGGAAACTCCAATTTGATGATTTTGCATTTATTTGCGTAAGTTACATGCAGCACTACAGTGTGTAACAGAACATAAAACTACAGTATAATCAACAAAAATTACAGCACTGTATAAACAAGGAATACTGTACCAAAAAAGAGACACTGAGGCTTTATAAACAAGATGTACAGAACTGTCAAAAAAAAGTTACAAGTCAGCCTCTGGTTGTATATCCAAACAGCATGCTTCGGCACTAAGTCTGAACAGTCATTAAACAGGCAACTTGTTAAATGGGGAATTCTGTAGTTATGATACAAATAATAATTTTAAGAGTGCTTCAGATTTAGCTCAGTGGCTCAAGCACCTGCCTGGCAAGTGTAAGGTCATAAATTCGAGGCTTAGTACCAAAAAAAAAATTTTTTTTTTTTCCCTAGACCTATGACTTCAAGAGTTGTAACTATTTGGGGCTGGGGATATAACTCAGTAGCACAAACACCTGCCTGGCAAGTGCAAGGTCAATTGCTGGTACCAAAAAAACCAAAGTGCTTCAGTACTGGGTATGCTAGCACATATCTATAATCCAAACACAATGGGAGCCTGGGCAACTTGGTGAGTTTGTGAAACCCTGTCTCAAAAAATTAAAAGGAGATGTAGTCCAGGCCTTGGGTTCAATCTCTAGTACTGTAAAACAAAACAAAATATGCCTTAGGAAATATAAGAAATGTATCAAAATGCAGAGGATTACTACCTGAATAAAACAACAGATAATCTCTCATTACCAACTCCATCTATAGGTTCCAATTTTAAATTTTACAAACTAGACTTCAGTACAAGATTCCTTTAGAAGAAGGAATCTGCTGCTTTAAGAAGATTTTTAAATCTCTAGTCCAGAAGATCTCTTTATGCTTCAAAAAGAGGTGCTTGGATTTATTACCTAAACTGTAGAATGGAACTATACAGACAATAAGCTTCTCAACAAGGGGTAGGGAAAGAATCTCTGAGTTCAACTTGTCTCATTCCTGACACGAACTACAACATCCTGAAAGGGTGTTGTAGAACAACAATTTTTTTTTTTTTTTTGTCTTTTTCCTTTTTATCGGTACCAGGGATCGAACTCACAACTGCCTGCTTGCAAGGCAGGCGCTTATGCCACCGAGCTAAATCCCCAGCCCCTCAACAGTCAATTTTGATAGGGAAAATTGCTAACTCAAAAAAGCCATTTCATAAAGATGTTTCCAGAATTGTGAAAAAAAAAAAAAAGCCATTTCATTTGTGCCCTGTAATAATAGAAGTATTTTCTCCATGTGAAGCAACATGAAATTTCACCCAGCATCTACTGAAAGCCCTTACTAGTTAGTGCTGAACAATTTTGCCTTATCTTCTTGTTGTAGTCAAGGGTTTGCAAGGAAAACAATTACATACAAGACACATAATGTAAAGAATAATTTTATAATTAGTTGTTCAAGGAGTCCCATACAAAGTAAGTGCAGGAAATATGTCCGCACACCAAAGATCTACAAAACCCAGCCAAGGGTCTGTATCCCATGCAATATCCTGCATGAATTCAGCTGAAGACCTAGAGTCCATAATAATGCCTCCCATGAGTCCAACTGGTGGTTTGGAGCCCATGACAATGACCCATGCAAGTCTGTTCCATAGATATGTGCTGGAAAATCCCCAAGATCGGCAGTGGAAACTAGAAAGTCTGTACCAGTGGGATGAGGGATCTGCACCACAAGCTGAGGGTTCTGCACTGAAGCCAGGAAGCAACACTCAAAGAACCAGAGCTCCCCGCAAAATGCCATTCTCAGCGACAATGAGGTCCTGAGCTGCTCTAATAATGAGAACAGCTGAGTTCATAACAGAAAGCCAGTGAGACAAGCTTCACCTAGAGATTGAACAGCACACCATCTTTCCCTCCAGAGCCAGGAAGCAATGCTCAAAGTAGGGAACAGAGCTTCCCCAATGTAAATTGCAGTCATTCTCAGAAACCAGATCCCCTTTGAGGAAGATAACAGCCAAGTTCATATCAGAAAAGAAGCTAGCAAGCTCCTCCAGAAGAGTCAATGGCAACAGGACTAACAGCACCAAACAGCAACATTCCTCCTCTCCAAGTCTCCTTTTTATGCTGGCAACAGTCCTCAGGAGGACCATCTACACTAAGCACCATGCTGATTCAGTTCAGCTGGTGATTAAGCTGACCATCAGTTTTCAATACACCATACTTTTTATCTAACCATCCTAGTAACTTTGTGAGGTAGGCTGGCTAATTCTACCTTATAAATGAAAAAACTAAAGTTCAGAGAGTTTGGGCAAAAGAATATGTAAATGGTACTGCTGAGATCCGAAATGTAATTATCTACTGAGAGCCTATTTTTATTCTCATTAAATGGAATTAACACTCATGGTATATAAACATGTGAAGATATTTCTATTATTTAGCTTTCTGCCCTGTGTTATAGAATCTCACAGAACATATCCTTGGTCACTTGATTAACACGCTTTAAGGATTATTTTTTAAATTAAGGATTTTTTTTTCTTTTTCTTTTTTTGAAACAGGATTTCACTATGCAGTTTAGGCTGGCCTTGAACTCACTGTGTAATCCAGGCTGCCTGGAACTTGTACAGATCCTCCTGCCTGAGCCTTCCTAGTGCTGGGATTACAGGCGTGAGCCACCACGCCCAGCAAAAAACTGCCTTTTAAACTGAGTGTGGTGGCACATCCCTGTAATCCCAACGCTCAGGAGGCTGAGGTAGGATGATCTTTGTGAGTTACAGACAAGCCATGGCTACAAAGTGAACGCAAGGCCAGGCTGAGTGCTTGCTGCTGTGCACAGCAAGATCCTGTCTCAAAAAGCCAAAAAACAAAAAATCTGTTTCACGCACTGTAATTGTTCCCTATATTGTTTATTCAACATCTCTCTCATTTTTCTATGCTTTTCTTTTTTTATCTACGTCTTTCTTCAATATACTTGGCAATCCTTTTATTATGTTTGTCATTTCTTCTTTTACCTGAGATAATGTTTCTGATCAGATTTCTTTTACAGCCTCTTGAAACTGTTTCTTTACTTCAGATGCCATCGTTTCAGAAATTTCAGGTGTACAACTTCCAATTTCTTCCATGTCTATGTTTCCTGGACTTACTCTGTGTGGGCTGGAGGCCAGAGATTACCTTTCCCTCCTTTGTCTTGATATTTTCCTAGATTCCTCCAGATGAGCCAGTTCCCAGGGAATTCCCATATTGACTGCCTGTTCACTGTGAAGAATGGGTCAGGAATCTGGGATTCTCCAAACCCAGGTTCCTGGGAAGGTGGTGGGGTACAGGGTTGGCTTCTCTAAACTTGCATAGTATATACTAAGGAGGCTTCCCCAATGGCCAGCGGGCATGTGGAAGAAGGGCTGGTTGCTTTTCTCCACCTAGTTACCTGCAGGAAGCAACCCCAGTAGCCAGAGGACACATGGAGATAGGGCTACCTGGCTACTGCTTCTCCCAGCCTGTGCTAGTTATGGGCAGGAGGTATCCCCAATAGCCAGTAAGAGTGGGATTGGCTACTTCTTCTCCCAGCCTGCACTGATTACCTGCAGGAAGTGCCCTCAAAGGCCAGTGGACATGCAGGGGCAGGGCTGGCTTGGAAAAATTTACTTTGGCTCAGTCATCTGGCTCCAAGGTGGAAACCTCATGGTGGTAAAGCAGAGCTACTCAGTTCATAGCTTAGTTCATGGTGGAATTCCTTAGTTCAAGCAGAGCAAGGGAACAGCACCAAAGAAGGGGTCAAAGACCATATACCATATAGTAACCAAGTCATGCTAGCATGACCCACACATACACATTCAGCTTTCTTTACTTAATTCCCAGGGTGGCTCACAAGCCATTTAAGTTGACACAATGAAGCATAACCACTACATATATAAATTCATAATTTATCTCCCTTTACAGAGAATCATTAAGTAGACTGAATAATGATCTTCCTAAAAAAAGCCAGCTTTTTTTTTTCTCCAAACAGGATCACACTGTGGCTGGTCTTGAACTCACTGTGTAGTCCAGACTGGCCTGTGAATTTGTGGATGACACCTTTTAATCCCTGCAATTTGTCAATATTACTTTACTTGGGGAAAAAACTATGATTATTATAAATATTACTTTACTTGGAAAAAAGAACTATGATTAAGTTAAAGATCTTAGTGTGGGGCTGGAGTGGTAAAGAAAGTTCAGGATATTGCTAAAGAGAGATTATAATAGATCATCCAGATGAGCCCTACATATAATTATAGATGTCCTTAAGAGCAGTAGAAAGAAATCTGACTCAGGGAGCAACATAATGAAGAAGGCAGAGACTGGAGTGATATACCCAGAAGCCAAGGAACGCAGAGGCAACCAAAAGAAGCTGGAAGTAAAAAGGATGTTCTTCTTTCTTATATCTTCCAAAGGAATGGCAGACTTGTGAGCATCCTGACTTTGGATTACTGGCCTCCAGAACTATAAGAGGATAAATTTACATTATTTATGTCACCAAATTTACAGTGACTTGTTACAGAAGCTACAAGAAACTTAACAGAAGCACTGCTAATCAATATTAATATTCTACTGTATACTACTAGCCCAAATGGAGTAATACACAAAATATGGTATCTCATTCTTTTGCATTACCAAGAGAACGTAGTGTTGCCCAAATTTACTTTGCTTAACCTTTTCCCCCCAGAGCATTTTAT